CCATGCTCATTCCAAAGACATTAGCCAACTTCTAATGGTCTCTATAGTCACTTCGATGCTAATACCGCATAACTATCCCTAGTGTGTCACTATGAGAGAGGAAGGACTTTAGCCACTCTTGAAGCTGTTGAGCCAGGTCCTAGTTTTTTTGTGAGTTTTGTTTGTTTATTTGTTTCCTTCCAAGCGTTTCTGTATGATACTGAATGATATGGAAAAAGAACTGTGTTTTTGACCATGTGTTTGTGGGACAGGAAGAGGACACAGAGGCATATATCTCATGGGGAACTGAGGGTTGGGGTGGGATGGGTGTTCAAACAATAAAATGTTCTAAGACTGTAATTGTGTTATTGGAGCATTTATTTATTCAACCTCTCATGTTTATGTAGGTAACATTTACAACAGTTAAATGGACTGGGTGTTATGGCATAACAACAACAAAAATCATTTTACCTTTTTTTTTTCCTTAATTGTTAATGTTAATTTCTACATATATATTTTTAGGTTTGAAGAAATACATTAGTATACAATGTATTTTCAACAAACATTAACAATGAACAATATTGAATGAATAATAATATAAAATGTACCTATACTTAAAAAAAATCTAATACTTTTAATACTAATTTTAAATACTAATTCAGTTTTTCCACTTAAAAATTTCACATTTAATTCAATGTGTTATTTGCCATTTCTTTGTAAATAATTTTCAAATTTACTAACAATTTCTGAGTGAAAGGTTTTCTACACATTTTTTCAGTATAGATCAATAAATGCTATAAATCTTGTTTATTATTATGTTTTCAAACATATCGATTTTGTGTAAAAATAAGTTCTAATTCAATTTAACCAATGTTGAGAACATTTGATGTCATTGTGTTATGGAATACACATTTTACAATATTTTACAATATCTTTTAAATACTGACTCATCCATGGCAACAATATATAGCAGGGCCCAGTTTTAACAAACCCTGCAAGCTTAGAAAACACTTTTTATCTTTATATATAAAAATGTAAATAATATATATATGAAATATCATGAAATGTATCATGAAAATGACCTCAGGATTTTAGTATCAATATTACTGTAATATTGTTGCCGTATTCATCTTGTTGCTTGGCCAATTGTATTGTGTGCCGCAATGGATTTTTTTTTTTTTTTCTAGTGGTACGTAGGTTCATACAGGTAAGATTAAAAAGTAATTTCAGCTCAAATCAATGTTTCATGTTCACAGCTTTATTTGTTTGGTCACCCTATCTGTGTTTATTTTGTGATAATGACGGGCCGGCTGTACATTATCCCTTGCTTATTGTAAACAGTGTTTATAAGAAGTCATGGCATTTGCAACAAGGCACACAGTGCTGTGGAATTGTTGAAAACCCATTACCAGGCAGACAGTCCATAATTATGTGGAGTCTGGGAGAGAAGTGAGGGCTCCGATTGTTCTTGGGCACATCCTAAATGGAACATGAACACAAAGACTGTGACCGCACTGACATTTCATATCCTCGTGCTTTGTCAGCCAGATCAGCTCTTGTGGGATGGACTCACAGTCTCTGCTGATTCATTAGATTCTCTCGCCCTTTTTAGACCACCATCTACGTCTGCCTTTCCATCCTTCCTGTCGTTTCTCAGTCTGGTGGTTCTTATCACTGTCTTTCTATCTCTGTAATGTCTATTTTTGTACTTGATCTCTCTTGCGCCTGCCCTTGCTCTCTCAGTCGCTCCTTTTTTGTATTCCCCCCCATTTCCTGCCGTGGATGTGAGGTGGCTGCAGACCGCAGGCTTTCTCCTATGACATACAGTAGCTCGTGGAGGAGATGTGAATTATTCAGCAGGCCTGCAAAGTGATCCAGTGTTGGAGTTTAAAGACATGCCAGATTAATTAGAGGACAAGTCCTCCTCTGTCATAGCGCATATAGTGAACTGCAGTGTGAGGAGTTACTAGCTAAAAGTAGCAATGCTACTAACTACATCTTTCTTTGGTGTGACAGCTCAGCTGTTTTCAAACCTTTGTTGGTTTTTATAAGAACAAGCTACTTTTTCCAGCAAAAAGTTACATTACTGTTTTCAGT